GAAGATGCCCATTGCTTCACTGAATTTTTGCAATGCTCGAAGTCATATAAGATGGAAGATGGATGAACTGTGGGGGAATCAGATAACAGAACAGTTATAAATCAAAAAGAAGACGGCATCATAGAAGAATCCATAGCATATTAAAGTATAGAAGCATACCTATGGCGAGGAGAATCAGCAACAGAGAAAGTCTCAGGGCATGGCCCATTCTCCATTCACAGAACTCCAGATCTACAATTTTAACCAATCAACAAGAGCACTAACTAAAAGCTGAAACAAATTATATACTTTTCCATAAAAAGGCTTTAACAATTGAAAAGTACTAAAAGAGTAAGAAAACAAAAAAACAGGAAACTCGAGTGTGTATGCACCAGCCTTGAGTGACTGTAATTGTGATGGCCTCCTCATCCCTATCATAAAAAATAGCACTAGAATGAAGGAAGATTACCTCTTCGATAAGAGAGGTCTTAGTGAACCATGGTGCTACACAATTAGTCCGAATGTTGTCATTCGCCCATTCACATGCTAAATTCTTTGTAAGTTGATTCAGTGCAGCTGCGAATGCAAAACACACACGTTAAAACTAGAAGGGTCTTCATGTCTTTTGAACAAACGAGAATTAGAGAATGAGTCCCTGTCCCACCTTGTTCCTTTTTTTGGTGCAAGTTAACAAAGGGGCATAAATGTAAATTATGCAACCATTATCATACCTTTAATTGCACTGTAAACAGACCCAACACTAACATGAACCAGACCTGCAACAGAGGAAATAAACACAATGCTTCCAGCTCCAGAAGCTTTTAAAAGAGGATGTGCAAGTTGACTCATATGGTAAGAAGACTCCAAATTAGTAGCCATGAGAATTGAATACAGTTCTAGAGTATACTCTGTAGTAGGTTTCCTAATGTTTGTCCCCACATTGTTTATCTACAAGCAAGAAATCTATGGAAGTAAGTTTTATGAAGACTGAAAAAGTTTGTATCATCATTTCAAGAATGAACTACTAACCCAACAACAATATTAAGCAACTAACGATTCATTGTGATAATGTTTGCCTAAAATTGTGTTGCACATCTCAAAAACCTAACAGGTTGAATGTGACTCCGAAATTAGTACCTTAAACCTCACATAATCGTCAAATTATCAATTCCCGCTCACAAAATTGAGCTAATTAGCATCAATTTCCACTGGTGAAGCAATTATGTTTGAATTTGTAAACATGATCTAGAGTAAAAAGTTAAAGTTTCGTGGGAACAAACGTAAATTAAACTATAATAATATTTGTAAAAAGGAACTCTGTCTCTAATCTAGCTGCAGCCAGGGCAGTTTCAAATCCGCCTAAATAAACTTGTTTCCCCCAATCCCTGACCACAGAAAATAGAAAATAAAATCAATTATGAAATTCAAAACATTAACAATTTAGATTTATTGCAAACCCCAGGGAACTTATTGATCTGAATTCTATTTCCATATGGAAATAATCGGGAATGGAGTGTATATTCCATACGGAAACAATCGTATGTGCTTCAGCTTCAAGCAATTGTATGGTGTAAATGAATGATGCATATGAAGCTTAATGATGATCTCTTACCTGTTGTAGTGAAGGAGATGCAGGCAGGGTCTCGTTGACGGGCGGCGCGTAGGTCAACGACGATGGCGGAGAGGAGAGATGGGTTGGATGAGAAGGTGTTGAGGAAAAGATCGTAGAGGAGGGTGGAGAGGAGAGTGGAGGAGCAGAGTTTGTTTCCTAAATGGAGAGAGAGAGAGAGAGAGAGAGAGTGAGTGTGTGTGAGAGATGAGTGGGAGATGATGGTGGAGTAGAGGTAACTGGAGAGGGCTGGTACAGATTCGGCGTCACGGCGAGCTTCGGCTTTGATTTCGTTCTAGACCCAGTCGCTTTTGTTTTCTCCGTCGTTGACAGTAGTTTGTGGAGACGATGATGACATCGTATACTGCGATGTGGCATGGCGATCTTGAATCGACGTCTTGAGATGGCGGAAGTGTTTGCTTAGGTAATTCGAACTCTTAAAGCTTATGAGGTTTGATGCTAGTGGTGGCGGCTTAGGGCTTGCAAAGGGAGAAAGAGAGAGAGAGAGAGAGAGAGAGAGAGAGAGAGAGAGAGGAAAACGAACTGCTTAACGAATTATTAGGGTTTTTTGGTAGAGGATTTTAGAAGGAGAAGAAGGAGATGCATCAGGCGGGGTGTTTAATTTTTTGGGATTTCATTTCCCCCCATGGGCTATTAAAAAACAGAACGTGCCTTTCTAAAAAAAAATATAAAACGACACATTTACACGACACGCTTTTTATGATTGGTGCCCTCCGTGTTTTTATTTTTTTTTTGTTGGACACTAATTTTAGGGCACGCAAAAATGTGTGTCCTCTATCCTTCAAATTTTAGAAAACTAACATTGTTGTTTAGGACACGCACAAATGCGTGTCCTCTATCAGTGCGTGTCATTGTTTGCGCGTCATTAAAGGGTTGTTTTCTAGTAGTGGAAGGAATGTGATAACTTGGCAATCCCAAAAGCAAAAGACTGTTGCTTTGTCCACGTGTGAAGCCGAGTTCATGGCAGCTACAACAGCAACATGTCAAGCCATTTGGCTTGCTAATCTCGTGGTGGAGCTCACGGGACATCATATCGTGCCTTTCACCTTATATGTCGATAACAAGTCAGCAATCGCATTGATGAAAAATCTCGTGTTTCATGGTCGAAGCAAACACATTGACATTCGTTATCACTTTTATACGAGAATGTGTTGAACGTGGGCAAATTATAGTGGAATATGTCAACTCAAAGGATCAACGGGCGAACATCTTTACAAAGGCTTTAGCATACGTGAAACATGGTGAAATGCAAAACATAATCAGAGTGACGAATCTCGATCCAAGTCCAGTTTAAGGGGGAGAATGTGAGTGTAAACTTGACTTGGGTGTAAACCTGACATCAGTAGCTAGCTGCACCTCCATCTATGTTGACAATAAGAACTCAAATGGCAACTTCGTATGTTCACATGATGAACACAATAAATGGTAGCAGTAGTAATTGTAGGCTTGTTTAAGTATAAATAGAGGCTCTAACCTCAGTTGTAAAAAACCACTAAAACAGAGAGTGACAAAGTGAGTATTTGTAATAGATTGTTGTTTTTCTTTTCTTGTAATTGAGCTAGTAAGCTCCTCCTTTTGTTCTAGTTCTGAATAAAAGTGTGTTTCAACCCCAAAAGACTCGAGATATTCTCGTCATTCATGTTTCAACTTTAGCATATGAGTTTGCTTTTAGTAAGGGGGAGAATGCGTGACTTCTTTCGAAACTATTTGACATGGGTTCACTACTGTTGCATCTTCATCTAAATATCCTATATTAGCACTGATGGCTCGAGATGTTCTCGTCTTCATCTTTGGCATTAGACATGGGTTCACTCTTATAGAAGCATATAAATTCGTTGATTCTGGTTATAAATTAATAACATTTTTATCATATATTTATTTCTCTTTAATTTATATTTCTGCATCTTTCGATAGTGTAGTGAAGTTGTCGATCTGGTGTAAAAGTTTTAGAATGAGAAAATACTACGACGTAATATGTGTAAACTATTATGTACTTGCTTTCATGTCTAAATTAATTATAATGAAAAATTACTGCAGTACCTACCTGCTTACAAGCTTTGGATTTTAAATTTGCCGAATTCACTTGGAAAATCACAAGAAAATACTAAATAGTTTGCAATGACGTAGTGGAGATGTTTAATTTACTTTTTGATTGTTTCTGTTACTTTTAAATTATGTTTTGGAGATGTTTAGATTAATATGAATTTTGATGGAAAACATGTTCCATCTTTCACTTGTTTAAAATTTTAAATTACTTTTGGTTGTTACAAATTTTTGAGTTTGAATGTTTGACTTTGAGTATAAATGACATTTTCACTTTTAGTATACATGAGGTAGTCAACGCAAGAATCAAGTAATATGCTGGTCTTTTGGTGGCATTCCATAAGGTAATGTGAGGATTACATATTCACGTAAATCAATAGTATCAATCTCAAAATCAAAACAAATCATAGCAACAGATTATATGGAGTTCAGAGGGCACAATTTTTTATATAGTCAGCAAACCTATTATCAAAACAACTGTGCAATTATCATTTCATTCATTTACTGAAATCAAATGATAAGAAATTCCGAAAATTGTGAATAATTTGGACTATGTACATGATTAAACAAAGATAATCTTAACATTTACCAGAGATCAGTCGGAGTGAGAATCAGAGTATGGATCATAGCCGGAAAAACAACCACCGGCTAAACTCAAATTGTAATATGAATCAGAATCCGAATAATCTCCGTCGTCATAAATGTAAGAATCAGCAGGCCACGTAGGAACGCAGAAAAAATTCCAAAGACAAAGCGCAAAACAACCTAATTGTTGAAGAGGAAAATAAATTACCAGATCTAACAATTCCTCGCTGGTTATTCGTTCAGAGAAACATGCTATCGATTGCCATATCTCCACAGAAACGGTGGCTGCCGATGCAACTAACATGGTGTTCAATACCATCTGCAGTTCTGAAATTCACCGTTTCCTGCTACAGATTAATTAGATCCACATTTATGATTTATGTATGTATCTATCTGTCATCAGGGAGGCATCGTACATTTGACATTTTGAATTGGAGTGGTGATTGTTTCCTGTTATTTGCCGAGAACAACATGGGAAATATTGTATATTGTGGTTGACTTTCTAATTTTATATAATTAATTTCATTTATTTATTCAATAAAACACATACATGCATAATAATGTTTTAGGTTTGATAAACTATATATTCGTTTGAGAAATTATGATGAATCTTTATGAGTGACTCAAAGGAAGTAGTGTTTATCTTCATGTTTTATAACATATATACTAAAATATACCAACATTTTCTTCTATGGTCTAGTGTTACAACTTACAAAAAATCGTAAATTAAAGGTATTTGACAAATCTCTATGGAAGCCAATCACTAATGATGTGTGTGGCCATGATGGTTTACTTTTCCTCTACCTTGTATTTGTTTGCACCCAAACTCGCATCCAATTTCGCAAGAACGATCACGTGGAGGCTTTAACACCATGCAGATATCCATGCATGCGGATGTGCATGAGATTGGACCTTCGGGAGAGATAGCTATGATATCTGATGGTGGTGATGCTTCTTGCGTCCACTCCAACATCTTAGCCAACCTATCCTCCTCTTTCTTAGCGTCTGTCTCTGTTTCTTTTGTCTCCTTTGCTCCTCGCCTTGATGCCGATGTTGTTGTCACAACCACCAACATCAAGATTGCTAGTTTTTCTAAACTCATGTTTTAGAAGCATTTGGGGCAATTAGAAGGGTGAAAATGAAAAATGAAATTCCTTGTGGAAATCTTTGCATGGTAGTCCATTTCTTTAGGATCCTCATTTTACTCTGTCACATGTTTGGATGGTAAGTAGATTGGTCCATAACCATATCCATGTATAATAGTGGTGATAACCACGAGTTTTTTTTTTTTTTTTTTTTTTGTAAAAGTAGGTTAATT